ATTCGTAAAATGTAGAAATTTGAACTTTTTTCAATAAAAAGTTCTAGAAAGACTTGTTTTTATAGAATTTTTCCGGGAAAGTAGAAGATTTAATTTTCTAGAAAATTGGATTTTTTGAGACGGAGGACAGCAGGTGTGTGGTTTGTTTTACTGGAAATCGAATTTTATTGGTTTTTGAAAACGAGGAAAAAATTTGTAAGCCTAAAATATTGAACTGAAATTCACAACCGCCCGCACCAGTGTTGAGCGGAAATACAATTTCGCTTCACGGAAGACGGAAGACGGAAAACAGAATACATTTTTAAGGACGGAGGGCGGAAGCCGGAAGACGGAACAAGGAATTCCACGAAAGACGGAACACGGAAGACGGAAGACGGAAAATCGAGTAGTTAAAATTATTTTGAATTGGACAATACCTTAGATTCGAGTTTTTTCATGGGTTTTCCAGTTCCGTAGAAAGAAATTCGAAAAAATTGACTAAAAATTCAACAAATCGTAAAAAATTGTAGGCAGGTAGGAGGTAGCCCGCTTTTTCACCTGCCCAAATGGAAACCCTACACTAGAGATGTCTGTCGGTCCTCGTGTCACGATGTCCAGTTTTGAAAAAACTTGAAAAATGAGTATATTTACGTGACCCTTTGAGAAAACCTGAGTGAGAAGCGAAGCGGCGAACCAGAAAAAAAACTTGATTGAAATGCGCCGAAGACGCACCAGCCAGATTGAAACGGGGGAGGCGCGGCAATCAGATGGCTGGTGCGTTTATAAATTTATAAATTCAAAAATCCTAATAATCAAAAGAAATTCGAAAAATTTCAAACAATCCAAACATAAAAATCTGTGTATTTTCAGCTTTTCACCAGTATGACAATCGTCGACATTTGCATAACTCATTTTGTGATTCAAGCTTCGTATCTCAGCTGCAACAGAAAACACGTGGAATCTATTTTTACAATTTGCGGATTCCGGAAAAGCAATCCAGTGAGAGATGCGACAACTACAGAGACGCCTTCTTGATTTTTTTTAAAGAAACCTTTTTATTTGAAATAGAAATGTAATAAAGAACCGAAATCTCAACACTTCCAAAATTTCGAAATTTCTGAAAATTCGAAAATTATGATTATCAAATGTCCCAAAATTCGGCATCAGAATTTTAGAATTTCATAAAATTGCCAAAAAATGATGTTTTGAGAGACGCAGAGAGAACTAACACTTTTAAAGTTCTTGATAAGTGATAAGAAATCATTCTGCCCGTTTTTCTGAATTTATCAGTTTGAAGTTTTATTTCCAAAAAAAAATGACATCACTTTCAAAAATGCCTGTAGTTGTAATGGAAAACATTATTGGTCTTTTGGATTTCCGATCAGTGTGAGTTTTTTAAACATTTACAGAAGTTCGAAAATTCAGAAAATCCAAAAATTTAAAAAATTTCTGAAGTTCAGAAATTCAGAAATTCAGAATTTCGAAAATTCAAAAATTCAGAAACTCTGAAATTCTAAAATTCAGAAATTCTAAAATTCAGAATTTCAGAATTTCAGAAATTCAGAAATTCAGAAATTCAGAAATTCAGGAATTTTGAAATTCAGAAATTCAGAAACTCAGAAATTCTAAAATTCAGAAATTCTAAAATTCAGAAATTCGGAATTTCAGAAATTCAGAAATTCAGGAATTTTGAAATTCAGAAATTCAGAAACTCAGAAATTCAGAAAAATCCGGAAATTCAAATTTTCTAGAGATTCCTTTTAAAATTCTGTTTTCAGCCTTACCCTTCGCCAAGTTTGCCGTGATTTCTGGAATTTTATCGATGATTTGAAGGATTCCAAATTGCCAGACTCTAAACTCAAAGGACTGACATTAACAGTGAGAAAAGGACGAAAATTGGAGTTTAAAATTGAGTATTTTGATGGATCAATCGATATAATTGAATATATGGAAAATTCGAGAACGTATAAAGAAAAAATAACAAATTTGGAGAATTCCAATTTTTTGGATGTGGCGATTCAAAACGATTTGAAATGGATTCTAAAATTTCAAAGAGGCAGTTCGGACCTTTTTGAAATCGGTATGGATTTGCAGGCTGTGTATTTGCGACCGGAAGATGAGCAATTATATCAGGATGTGATTGAACAGCTGAGCAATTGCATGAATCGAAAAATCAAAACCAAAAAACTGCAAATCTGGGCCAACAAAAATTCAGAATTTCTTTCAATTATCCAGATAGTTGATCCAAAATTCGTAGTAGAACTTAATTTTCGTCCCAGATTTTTCGCTTTTGAAACTGATGAAATTTCGAAAACTGAGCAATGGAAAATGGCCAAAGTTTTCGGTTTTTGACAATATTTCTCGGATGAGCATATCAAAGAATTGACTCATTTTTGTGAAATCGTCGATTCTAACTGACTGCGTTTCAGCAGAAGATGTGATTCATCTCAAAGAAGTAAGTTGGAAAATTTTGTTGTTTTTTTGAATAAAATTCAGAAAGTTAGAAATCCAGATACCGTAAAACCAGTATTAGAAGGGCCGGGCCTCATATTTTTCCTGGTCCCTTGCGGAGAACCCTTTTGTAAAAGGAGCGCTTCTATTAAAGATGCCCTTCTAATACAGGTTTTACGGTATCAAATAAAAAAGTCGCCAATTTTTGAATTTTTGAATTTTTGAATTTTGAAGTTTCGAAATCAGAAATTCCAGAAATACTAGGAATTCTGGAAATTCAGAAACTTCTATATTCAAAAATATGAAAATCAGGAGGAAATCAGAAAGAAAATTAAAATTAATTTTGAAGTTGTGAAATATAGAAATCTTGAATTTCAGAAATTCGAAAATTCGAAAAATTAAAAAAATTAAAAAAAAAGAAAAATTCAAACAAAACCAAAATTTGAAATTTTCAAGACATTCGAATTCCTGAATTTTCAGATTTTCTGATTTCTCAATTTTGGAAATTCTTCGCAATTTTCAAAATACCGTAAAAACTTATTGAAACACTTTTTTAAATAAAAACTTGCTCAATTTTAGTGAAATTGAATTTTACGATTTAAGTTTCGGGGAAAAATGGCCGGAAGAATGAAAGGAATCAGAAATCTAAAAGTGAAAAAAATATACCGTAAAACTTGTATTAGAAGGGCCCCTGTAATATAAAGGCCTCTCTAATAGAAGGTCCCTCCAAGAGGGACTTGAAAAACAGAAGGACCCC